CCCATTAGCATTACTTGGCTAATTTTCATTTTACTATATATATGCAATCCATTTCACAATCAAAGTATATTTTTCTAACTATAGTCAAATCTCATCTCCCATCTCTTGCACTCATTCTTTTCTCGTTTGGTCATTGACTTGATCGTCAAAGTGTAAATGGTTCCTAGACTTTTTCTCAGCCGACAACCTTTGCTCCCTAACGAAGTTTTCCATTGTACAAATGACGTCTTCATGGATGGGAGGTGGTCGGGATTCTATTGGAACATTTTTAGAGGTCAATACCAACTGTAATGGTTGAGCTAAATCTCAACTCAAAACTAGTTTATTCTCACCCAATTCGATACACAATTGAAGATAATTAGCTAGGAATCAATCATCCCAGTTGGAATTCTATTAATTTAACTGAAATTTAGATAGAAATGAAGAAATGAAAACAAAAAGGGAAAGGAGAAATGTCGAAATTCAAAGGAAGAAGAGAAAAAGAAGAAAGGGAATGAATTCTAACAAATATTTTGACTAACTTCTGTCCCTTCCCTCAGACTGTAAGTAAATAGGAAAAAAACATGTTTTGTATCTATTGTGTAAGCACTTCTACAATTAAAATTAAGAAAAAATACGATGCCATTTAGATTTCCTCAATTTTGAAATGTGGTTTACTACTGTTTGCTTCTAATTCCTTCCCTTCCCAATTTGCTTGCTGTGAGGCCTTGCCTCCTTCCATAACAAACTCTCTCTCTCTCTCTCTCTCTCAATATATTTACTTATCTATTGGTTTTGTAATTATTTGCGAACTGTGCATTCATGCAAGACGCAACCCAAAAGTTCTCAATTGCATTCTTGTGAGGTATTTTTTAATGTTACTTTCACTATTTTCATTTCTAGGGTTGTGATTTTGCTGCCACTTTTAAATGAATGTCGAAGTTAGGTTTTATTGAATTGGAGTTCTTTTAATATTTTCTTTATTTGGTCAAAGCTTAAGTAATTAAGAGGAGGAAAAGATAAGATAAAAAATAATTAATTTATAGATACCACATTTTGAACAATAAAAAGGGAAAATTGTAGCAGCGATCCTTAACATTTTCATTTTTTGCAGACTTTACCCTAATCTTCATTTTGTGCCAGCGGAGGTTCTTAACTTTTCATAAATATGCACTCAAAGTTCATTTGAACGGAAACCATCCAAAACATTATCAGTTGATCGAGAAAATTATGGAATCAACATCTAATAAAATCGTCCAAAACACCGTCCAAAAGGGTATCAACATTCAATAACATCGTTGCGGTAGCAGATATTTCAAGAAATTTTCCTGGTCAATTGACCTTGTTTTGGATGGTTTCCATCCAAATGGACCTCAGGTGTAAATTTATGAAAGGTTAGGGACCTTCGCTGGTACAAAATAAATGTTAACGTAAATTTTGCAAAAAAAAAAGGAAAAGGTTAGGGACTACTGCTGCAATTTCCCATCCAAAAATGTTGATCTGGTGGAAATTGATAATATGCGCTGAATTTTGGCATTGAAAGATATTTATATATTGGGGAATTAGAAACGTGGGTTTTTTTATGAGCAGAGTATACGATTTAGAATGAGAAAGAGTTGCTATGTAAAGAGATTAGTGGTTGAATTTACAGTGTTGACTGTTATTCTATAGAATTCATTGGTTAGAAGTTATCAAGAAAGTGATCAAAAAAGGGGTCGAGGTTTTTTCATGGGGAAAACATGGAAACTTTCTAAAGGTTCCTAATCAGGGGTTGTGTGGGTCAGGTCCGGTCGATATCCTGTCAACTTCTTCAAAGGATTTAAATGCACCTAAAGTGAAATCAATCAGCTTGAATTTGGACGGTTTTGATAGCCCTGTTGTGCTTAGACGGATCTTTTCATTGTCTACTATGTGACATTTGCAGAGGAGGGATTTGGAGATAAAGTTGAAAAATGAACTTGAAAGAGTTATGATGCTTCAGAAGAAGATGGCTTTGTTGAGCTCAAATGACACTAATGAGATGCATAGTTATAGGAATGGCTCAAAGAGACCGGCCAAGGAGGAAACTTGTAAGATTTCTGTGAATAAAGTGACTGCAGTGCCCCGGAGGAAAAATTTTCTTGGGGTAGAAATGTTCCTAGCATGAAAGGTGACTGACTTAGTTGGTGAAGAGGCATCGCTTACCTAAGAATACCAATTCTATTAAATTGATGAAACAATGTGATACACATTTATAACGGTTAATGGCGCAGAAGAATGCATGTATCTTCAATAGTCCGATCGATAATATCAATGTTATGAAGCATCTAATGGATTTTGGGATGATAAAGGCTACGTTACTTTTAGAGCGGTATTCTAGTCCAGAGGGCTTAACTGCAAATATGAGGCTAACTTTCAAAAATGCAATGACATACAACCAGCCATGACGTGTCCATCTTATGGCCGAAAAGATGAATAAATTTTTGAGACCAGATGGAAACAAATTGAGAAGAAGATTCTTGTAACAATCAATGAATCCATTCTTTCAAAACCAAGTGCCATAAAATGAAGCTAAAACTCCTTTCATGCCTCCTGCTAAGAAGTAGAAAAATCACTTCTACTGAAAACAAGTTCAAGAAAGAACCAGTAAAGCCTGTAATGAGTAATGTTGAGAGATACGAAAATTGGAAGCAGAGTTGGTGGTTGTTAAAGGAAGAATTACCTGAAGATATTATTAATTTCTTGAAAAGAGATCACTTTGAATTGAAGCCAAGTGAATGAGAGTGAGATTACCATTGATATTAATACTCTCAATGATGATACACTGTTCAAGTTACGAAAACTTTTGGATGACCGTGTAGCAAAGTAGCAGAAAAATCAAGTAAGACTATGGCCGTGTGAATTTGAGGGTAAAATTGTGCACACATTTTTTTGTGGATGTACGAGTTTTATTTGATGTCAATAACTTTAAAAGTCTTAGAGATAGTCTTAACGTCATCTAAATGTTTTGGTTTATGCTGCTTCTACAAATTCATTTTGCCAAATTAGTGCCAGATTAATACTTGGTAATTTGTTATTGGATGGTCGAAAAATGTTTTTGACACAACTGCCAATGTAATTCTGTCAAATATGAATCTGGCACCATTCTAATAAAATGTACTCGTACATGCAACATATCTCAAACGTTTTATAGAACAGTTATTGTTGTAGACAAAATGGATTTGCTGTGAAAAATATGAAATATCAGAACTATCAAAATTCAACTGAGTAATTGACACCATCAAGTCTAGTAACATGTTTGGTAGCAAGGTTTTAATGTTACAGGACACAAAGTCCTATTTGACATCCATTAATTTTTTTTTTTTTGGGAAATTTCCGAAAATATCAATTTTTTTGAAAATGCACAAAAAACTTTGATGTGCACACAAATTATACAAAAATGTCACTTTCTTGTTGTCAAATATCTAAATTACCCTTAATTTGACTTTTTTGGAGCATTTAATGCTCCTTCATGATTGCTTTTTAAAACAATTAATGTTGTGATTTGATTGTTTAATTTGTATATTATAATCATTGAAAATATGAATATTACATTGTAAAATACGAATTTAGTTAATAAAAAATGAATATAAAATCCTTCAAAACCCTAGTTAGCATTAAAAAACAAATTTATTGTGAAAGAAACCATTATTTCATTCATCTTCTTCATCCATTTTCTTCTTCCTGAAAAAGACAGTGCTTCATCCATCTTCTTCATCTATCTTGAAAGATCAGTTGTTACGAATTGTTTATATTTCTATGTAATAGCTTACTTTTTTTTAGAATGTTAAAAAGAATATGATGATCTTGTTTTTTTAATATTCTTAAAGGAAAAACATACCAATTTTTTTTTTTTGGAAAATGTGAACTATTCCATATTTAATGAAGTATTCAGTCATTTATTTCTAGAAATAGGTTGTGATGTTATAGTTGTTGTAGTTGAGAAATGATTATAAGCATTAATGCTACCAAACACATTTGAAATTTCTCGACAGTTCCGACACTTGAACCGTCGAACTCGATATTTCGAAACTGTCGGGGATCGATATTTGAACTGTCATACCCGACATTTATAAATTGTCGAGATAGATAAGTAAACTATCGAATTGGACAGCTGAAAATTCTTGACACCTTTAATTTGACCTTATAGTATTGCATAGGTTTAAATATTGGAACGTGTCACTTCCATGATATTATATAGTCGACATTTAGATTGCGCATAATATTTATCGTTGCATTCCCAACATTTCAGGTATGAACAATAATTTGGGATTCATCGTGTCGCACGGGGGAAAGTTTGTTTACGTGAATGACGAATGGAAGTGGACTGGGGACAAAACCACTTCCATTTTTTGTGCCGAGCAATATCACACTACAGGAGCTATTGTTACGGTTGAACAAGAAACTTGGTGTTTTCGATCCGCGCACAAAATTGGAATTGAAGTTCAAAGTTCAGAACATGAATATACTGCCGGCCGAAATACTCGAAGATGAAGACGTAAATTGGTACATATCAGTTCATAAGAAAACTGACATCTGCATTACGACTTTGGAAATCGGCCTGCCAAGTGTTGAAATTGAGGGGGATACAAATTACAACCAACAATTGTTCGCCACAGCGGAAGATCGCCATACCGTACAGGACTACGAACTCAATCATCAGCAAAGTGTCCCAAATAATAATGCAGCAGATACTCCAATTTTCGATGTTCGGACTGCACCATTACATGAGATGTTTGACGATCCCTTACATGGTACAAATACTGCTAATATTGCTGATGTTGATGAAGAACTATTATCACATTCCAAAAGTTTGGATACATGTGACTGGATTTCCACTGTGAATACGCCGGATCTTACCGAAAGGGAAATATTTTCTTACTAAGAAAGAGTTGTACTCGAGAATTCGTCTACTTACGTTGCGAGAGAAGTTTCAATTTCAGGTTAGCAGGTTAAGCCAAAAAATGTTAACCGTTGTATGTGCCGACGATAATTGTAAGTGAATGTTACGTGCTTCGAGTGTGAAGCAGTCTGCCATCTTCATGATCCGCAAATTCAACAATGTGCACACATGTTCCATAGATTATCGCCATAATGCACATCGATATGCCACCAGTTCCGTAATTGCTGAGCAGATTATGGGGAAATTGAATAATACGTACGGATCGTATGATCCTACTGCTATTGCTCGTGACATAGAACGTGAGTTTGGTGTGAAAATTAGTTATCATCAAGCACGTCAGGGAAAGATCGCTGCTTTACATTTGCTACATGGTACACCGGGTGATAGTTTTCAAAAACTTTCTTCGTACTGTTACATCCTAGGAGAGAGTAACCCGGGGGGCAATAATGCACATCGAAGTAGATTCTTGTAATAGGTTTCACTGCCTTTTCCTAGCTTTCGGTGCAAGCATTCGGGGTTACTTGCAGTACATGAGGCCCGTTATTTGTGTTGACAGCAGTCACTTGAAAAGTCCGTATAAAGGTACTCTTCTATTGGCAACTGCTCAAGACGCCAACAAACAGATTTATCCGTTAGCGTGGGGGATTGTTGATGCCGAAATGAATAAATCGTGGATGTGGTTTTTATCAAATTTGAAAGATCTTGTAGGTGACTCGGACGAATTGGTGTTTGTTTCCGACATGAAAAATAGTATTGAAAATGCCATTGCTCACCTATTTCCTCGGGCTCACCACGAGTGTTGTGTTTGGCATATGGAAAAGAATTTAATCCAGCAGTACAACAATGCAAGTTCAATATTTCTATTCAAAAGAGCCGCAAGAACTTACCGGACCGAAGAGTTTGAAAGACTTATGGGACAGCTTTGTAGGGTTAGTGCAAGAGCATAAGAGTACTTGGAGCAAGCAAGTTTCCCATTTTGGACACGTGCACTATTTGTTGGCCAACGGTACAACATTTTGACCAACAACAACGCAGAATCTTTGAACTCAATGTTGAGACATGCCCGTTCGTTGCCGATCACGTGCTTAGTGGAACACATTCGGCATACTATGCAGAAGTGATTTTATGAACGTCGAGCAAGTGCAACCGCATGCAGTACTATTCTGTCACCAACGATGGAGAATGAGTTACGGACGACGTTCGAAGCAGGTACTAGGCTGCGAGCGCATGGCTTGACAAAAAACTTAATACAAGTTGGAATATCCAATGACACGGACATTGTAGACTTCTCCGAAAAGACGTGCACTTGTCGTGAGTTCCAGCTGAATCGTATGACGTGCGTTCATGCAACCCGTGCTACTTGTTTGAGAGGTAAATCATTGTACGATCTCTGCTCACTATATTACACATCCGAGTATTGGAAGGGTGCCTATGGAGAAGCTATATATCCTATTCAGCGTGAAGAAGACTGGAATGTTCCACCCGAAATTACAGGTACTCCTATTATGCCCCCTAGTGTGCGTCGTCCTCCAGGAAGACCACCCACATGACGTAAGCAATCTAGACACAAGCACACCACACGGCTCAAGAAATGCACTCGCTGCGGTGGACTTGGTCATAACCGGACCACATGTTCGAACTACACTGTAGCACGTCCGATGTAAGCAGCATTTTGTACGTGAGTGGTTGAAGTTGTAAGTGAAGTGTTCCCTCGATGTTGTTTGTATATGACAATGTAAATATTGGATTGCTGTTTTCATTCTCTTACGCGTAAACATTATTCTTTGTTATGTTAATTACAGAACGCAAATAGGCACAACATACTGTATAGCTGTCTCGAACCAAAATACAATTTTGTTGTGCATAACATTGTTGCCATTGTTGACACATGTAAATAGAATGTATGGAATATGAAAAATTCAACCATTATATAAGTTTCCTTTGAAATGCATATTACGAACACATCATTTATAGCGCATAACACTGTCCGCAAAGTTTGCAAACTACAATCAATGTACACATTAGGTTGTGTTTTTTAACCCAAACTACATGTTATATGAATATGCATACTACATACACAGAAAATTTGCCAGTAAACCCCGACAGATGGTACCTGCCATTCTCGACAGTTGTGCGACGCTCCACCTAACAAAACACAAAAAACACATAACTTGCCAATGGGAGTTTCCTACTTGCTACAGAATTGGTTAAGCGTTACAAAATCCATCTGTTACAAAAAACCACTATACATACATACATAGAAACCCACACACGCAACAAAGCCGGACTCTTCACTCGGAGCTAACACTTGAACTTTCTTCCCCACCGTCATCATCCGAGTTGATGACAATTACCTCGGGCGATGGAACGCGACCTTGCTCCTCATCCTCGTAACGTTGAACTTCGTCTGCATCCATAAATGGGACGACCTATTCAAGCACATTTCTCGGAGACTCACCTTCATCACTTGCAACTTTGTCCAGGTTCGGAAAGGGAACGACGGTGATGGCTCTCCTACCACCATTCGAACTCACTTCCTCATCGTTCGAAGAAATTACGATGGGACATAGCGCGGTTGAACCGGGTGTCGGCATCGGCTCCTGAAGTGCCAGCGGTGAATTGCTTCCCATGGACGATGCCATTATTTTTGTACGAAGAAACAAACTTCAAATACTTTGATACATTCCTGCTACAAGATGCCTCAGAAAGAGTTTCATAGATCCCACTTGAAGAGTGCAAGCCTTGCTTTATATTGGAGGTATATGAGGACATTCAAAGCAATTTACCAACCAACCACCATTTCATTTCTACTTAACACTTGATTGACCATTGGTGTGATGGTTAAGGGTGTAAGTGTACTTTAATGTAGTCCATAAATGGTGAGAATTATGAGTAAATTGTACACATGTGCAATACCTTCAATGGCAACATTCCTGCAATGACTTTGTACTTACATTACTTAACAGAATTTTTGTAGTCCTTAGTCACAATTGAATACCGTTTTTAAATTATAAATCATATGAATTGCATGAAAAATTGATAAAATTAATGTCCCTGCCAATGAAGATGAACATTGGATGACTTTACAAGCCATTTTTAAAATAAACTTTACTTTCTACGAACAAGTGAATTTATACTAAAACGCATGTCGAAATAAACATAAATCGGTTGTAATGTTGGGGCCAACATAGCAAAGATAACATCGAATTTTTCATTCTACGGTAATGCAAATTTTACAATAATCATTGTCCTCGATCGGTCGACCACACTTCATTACACACAAGATAATTTCATTCCATGACTCATTTGTGCAGGTATAACACCTTCAATTCCAATGAAATGAAATTACAGAATACTACTACTTCATCAAGTACCATGAACATCAAATTAATTAGAGTACAAACAAATGTCATATCTCAATGTGCGTTCCACTTAACCATATCCCCATTTGGAATTGAAGTAATCTCATAAACCCCTTTGATATCATTAACCACATCATATGTGATACGATGTAATTGTCTCCACAGTTGCACCTTCAGGTATGAACCCAGGTTTAAATCCCTTTGACTATTATTTGGTGCTATTAACTACACCTCTTCATCATTGTACAAAAATTCGTCATCACACCTCGATGAAAGCACATGCTCAACTGAAAAATCAGTCCTCCGAATTAATCAGCTGCCTACATGCATCAGGTGTCTATTAAAGTGAAATGACTAAGCAGAGCAAGTTCGTAACTATCCATCCAATCAACGTAAGAACCAGAAAATGTACTCACCCATGGAGTAGAAAACGTGCAGGCAATCTAATGACCAAAAAATGAACCCTTTCACATATCATAAACATTACAGGCCATAAATATTATGGTGAAGCCAACATACAAGACGAGGAAGGCATCGCACCAGACCAACACAAAGGCTCATGTTCGCTGGTTAACAGCTTCGGATGGCCGTAGTTCGGGCGACTATAAAATTCATAAGGAGTCCACACTCCACTTCGCGTTGAGGCTTGGTGGTGGCAGGCAGATTATTGTTAAAACCCTTACTTGGAAGACAATAACCCGTGAAGGTGAAAGCTCGGACACCAGCGATAATGTTAAAGCTACAGTTCAGGACAAGGAAAGAATCCTACCAGACCAGGAGTCAACTTTGCACATCGTGCTGACGTTGCGGGTAGGCATGCAGATTTTTGTGAGGACTCTAACAGGAAAAATCGTCAGTTCGTGTTGACAAGTCATATGACTGGGATGTCTAAGAGTGATGATATATTCATTTTAGTTATGATGTTGATGTACCCTTTCACATTTCATGAACAATACATGCATTATGTCGTCAACGCATACACACAAAATTTACCGACACTACCATCCCATGCTTGCACTAAACATGTATTATAGCAAAACGATATGTACTCTACATAAAACATTTTAACGTGTACCATATTTCAGAAACAGTAAATACATTATGTCGTCAACGCATACACACAAAATGTACTGACAATACCATCCCATGCTTGCACTAAATATTTATATACTGTACATAAGACAATTTAACGTGTAGCATATGGGTGAGCAAACGTATCCGTTCATAAATCAAACCAAATTCAAAGCATGTCTTTGTTACCAACAACGTATCTACTACTACATCAGACCTTACCAAACCACTTGAACTCACTCATTTCTTTACTCTCTTTGCCCTTCCCCTCGTGTATGGCGTCCGGTTAGGTGGTGCAGGACGTCGAACACGAGTCGATCGCTGCCTGTTTGTGCTGCCCACATTGCCTCCCTTCTCCGGTACGGTCACTTCTGCCGGTAACTCTGTGTCAGCACACATATAAAATATTTCAGCATTTTAGTGAAACGTTTCTGTGTGAACGACGCCACATAGTCGTGGAATAAGATTATTGAAGGAAAAAAAGCACATACCGTCCACCTCCGTGACGTCATGGGTCGATGGGCCTTCCTCGTTGTCATCGCTGGGGAGGGTGGAGATAGTCTCTCCTAAAACTAGTTCAAAGGAAATTAGGTGAAATGGACAAACACAAAATATGAATTATCATTTGTGTAGGGGGGAAGTGTTTGGTAATAGAACCTAAATCACAGAAGTTGGAAAAAATTACGCATGTACCGTTCACGTCCTGCATGTCACCCTCCTCCGTACGATCATCGTCCTCTGGAAGACAGAGAACAAATGAATGAACGAGTGAAATTGAATACATATGCGTACGACGAAATGAGACGACAGAAGTTGAAAAAAATAACGAACATACCGTTCACCACATGCATTTCACCCTCGTCTGCATGGTCGTCGTCGTGTGTGCTCCGTTTGTTGCTGCCTTCCCCGGCTACTCGAAAACAAATAATAAATTATTGAACGACTTAAATTGAAGACAGTAAGTAAAGGCGATATAATAGGACAAGAAAGATATCACGAGAGGAGATTACATAAAATACAAAATTTATGCACGTACCATTCCCCTCCTGCATTTCAGCCTTGTCAGCACGGTCGTCGTCATGCGGGCTCTGTACGTCGCTGCCTTGCCCGTCTACTTGGAAACAAAAAAAAATTAGTATTACAGTCAAATTCAATAGAGTAGCATATCACGAGATGACATGACATCGAAGACAAAAAATGTGTTACATAGAACTAACGGACATATCATTCACCTCCAAGTTCCCGATAGGGGAAGGACGGCCACCGTCATCCGGGCACAGGTCCATGTCACCTCCATGTACATCTAAGTAATTTGGCAATTTCAAAAATACATTTGTAAGCAAACGCATAGGAAAAATTGTACACATGTTGTAAATGGAAGTAACAGTAACATAAAATCATACCTTCGTGGGGGTCGTCCCAAAGGTTTGGCTCATTCATGACTGGAGCTGCAGCGAAAATGGAGGTGCCACTAGATGGGGGCACCAAGGTAGATATGAAGTCCCTCGGTTTGGCGAACTCCTCGGTGACGTGCTGTATGATTTCAAGTTTCACGGTCCGCAACCTCATCTCGAAGAGGATGCGCTGGTCATACAACATGCCCTCCACGTCCTCCCTCGTCAAAGTCGCTCCACCACGCGTACCCTGAACCCAAGATGTGGGTAATGCGCTCGACTGCCGTCCCGAGGCATCCACTTCGTCCTCGCTGTCACTACCACTAATCTCGCTGGAGGGGTCGCGACCGCTTTCTCCACTATCATCAGGCTTAGACCCATCGTCCCTGTTGCCCTTCGGTATTTGATGGCCATCGCTCGCGGATGTGTCAACGTCCTCGACCCCTGCACCAGACTCGTTGTCATGCCCGTCACCCTCATCGCTACCGTCATCTCTCTCACTAGCTGGTGCCGACTCATGGAACTGTGGATCGACAACCCTCCTAGTGAGGTCGTCCAAAAATTGCACTGGACAGTCAGGGAACGACACCAAACTGGCGATGTATGGCCGATTGCGCTCAGCTTCCGTGGGACACAGTGTGGTGTGCACGTATAGCTGTAGCAACAGGGGAGAACATATAGTTAAAATATAATGCATACTATTCCCAATTAAATAAAAGAATGGAAAGGCAAATGAAAAATGTCCATGACCTGTACGTTCCTGAATAATGCATCGTATGTACGCTGCTGCGGTTGTTTGGTGGAGGTCCAGCACGGAAGCCGAGGCGAGCGTTCACCCACACGCTCACCGAAGCGTTCTCCGAGTTCGGGCATAGCCTCATATGCCCAAATCTGTCCGGACGATAACAAAAAAAATGTCGCATTAATATCCGTCCAAACACTATGGAGGCATGGTCTAATACTGACAAACAAAACACATAAACATAATGTTGTTCGTACTTGCATGACGATCGAAAATCCATGAATTGTGTAACTGACGTCCTTCTCGTTCTTCGTCTTCGCATCGCTCATTTTAGGTGTCCAAGTATCCCGGAATCCCTTCAACAAACGCCTATACCCCACTTTGGTCTAGGGGTACGAAAAAAACAGCTCCAGGTCGTCCACGATGGCAAGCGTGTCCTCATCAACACCGACATTATTGTTTGGAGCTGTGATAACTCCTTCCACAATTAGAGCAAGCCCAAGCTTGTATCTATCTGCCCGGGGTGTCGATGCGCGGAGAAAGGCCTTCTCCAACTGGGCAAATGAAATTTTCTCCAGCAATTTGAAATATTTTTCCTTCAGCCTCCTCTTCTCCAATGCCTTTGTATATCGATCGCCCTCCAAAAATGACCCAGCATGCAGTCTAGTGACGATATCATACTCCTACAGTTCAAACCGGGTAAGGTGGCCTTACACGTTGAACCACAACTCATGGGACTTATCGCAATGGATCCCTCGGTACACCAATGCCTAGATTAGCTTAGAGGAGAATTGGATCTCCGGAACGTCAACGAGAAACCCAAGGTAGGAGTCGCGAAAGTCAGCCCGAAGTTGATCGTCAAAGTTATCCATCACTATTTTTATGTACTTCAAGTTGCTCCATTGCGAGATACGAGCCGGCAACCGTACATTCTCGGGCACCAAAAATTGAAATTCCATAATAACTGCAGATGAAACGATAATGGTTAGAGCATAATTTAACAACAGCTGAATATTACAAATTACAAGCGTACTTCTGCAGAGCATACAACCACATCAATTGGAACAAGTAATACGAGAAACGTATACGAACATATCATCTACCCAAAGTTGCAGTAAACATTTATTATGGTGAATTTTGCTTGCAATATTCAACAAAATAAAATGTTAGCAAAAAAATTTTGTAATGTGCGAAAATACATGCGGTAATGACATCTGAATGTTTGACAGACATGTTATTTCTCGACGCACGTGCAGTATCATCTGTGCCCACCGTCATGTGTCGAGACACTGTCACCGAAACATGTGTCGATAGATGACTGCACTCTGCCTTACAGTGGCAGACGTCATCTGTCGAGAATGCCCGCAGCTAACTGTCGGGAACGACAGTTCATCTGTCGAGGTTCAGCTGACTGTCGAGAATAATAGGAGGCAAATGTCGAGAACGACAGTTTTCAACATAAATATGGCATATGTATTCATGGTGCCCCAACCCACAAACCTGCTACATAACAGCGAAAAATCAGGCTCCCGAAAATTCACAACACGCTTTAAAACTTAGATGTTACACATGCATGGTGCCCTATATCAAAATGTAGAACATGCCCAAATCCGGTTATCCCAAAAATCACAATGAAGGTGAAAACGTGGATATTAGTTCTAGAAAGTCGTTTCATAGCTTGCCATGCAAAGTACGAATGTAAACACAACGAAGCAACCAAGTAAAAAACTACCGTTACAGTAGAAGGCAAGCAAATAAGGCCAGTTTTCCCTTTATAACTACATCGAAAATACCAAATAATGCAACTACGCACCGAGCAATCTAAGAGATATGTAAAAGTAGCAACTTGGTTTGTGAATATCTTGTATGAGATAAATTCAATACATATTCGTACATTACAATAACAAGAGAGAAGAAAGTGCTTTCACCTCGTCTAGTTGTAGCAGTTGCAAAGAGTTATGGACAGATATGTCTCTTTTCTTCGTCCACACTCCACAAAGTTTAGTTCTGCAACAACAGAAAGAAACGTTGCGCATAAAAAACGTATTGAAGAGGAGCATACATTGAAAATGTCACATTTCTTGAATACCAATCTCCAAATATTTTAATTATTGCGCATTAAAAACTGAAAGTGTATATCAAGTATAAGCAAAAGTAATATTAAAGCTAATTTGTAATGGTCAAATCCCTTTTCCAAATCAGCCTACAAAATATTGATTCCTATAAGTTACACCTAAAGAATTCATGGTTTTGATAGAGACCACAGTGTTGAATGCTGAAATGTGAAGCAAGGATATCAAGTTCACGACATATGTATGAAGAGAAAGTTCATATTCACACATGAAGAATACTGAAATCAAGAAACTAGAAATTGACATCATAACCCAACTAATTGATGCTTAAGCAGTTATAAAGAGAAAATACACTAAATGCTTACGGTTTTGCGTATATCCAATTCAATCTGGTATTCTCATGCAATACTGATGCATTTAATTACCTAAATGAGTTTAATGACGGGCAAAAGAACAGCAAGTGGAAATGATGATATTCCATCATTACCAGCTCCTTGCATGTTTAGGATTTTCATAACTAAGTTCTAAATCTGAACAATCTCAAAAGACATGACCTTCTTTCAGCAAACAAGAAAAATGGTTCTCATT